ATTCTCCGATACGAAAGCTTCGCGGCCTCTAGTAAATACGAATTAAGGGGGATAAGGTGGGCGAGACTTTGCAAGTCGAAAAAGTTGCGATACGAAATCGTCTTTTACGAGCCTTTGCGCTTCTTAGACAGTCCGTTTTTATTAACGGAGCTTGCTCCGTGGGAGTCTTTCGATTATCGCCAAATCTATCGTCAAAGAAGAACGATTTCTTCCTTTTTTCTTTCGATTTTTCTCGCGTGGAAAGAAGAGGCCGTACGTTTCGACATCACACCGAAGATTCTTTATTCGAATGATTCGAGATTAAAAGCGTCGTAGTTGGACTAGTGTTCCAGTCAGGAATGATCAAAGCTCCACCTTCCACCACCGCTTCGACCTGTTTGACGAGGGTCCCTTTTGCCCCGGATCGCACGAGCCCGCCTCGTATTTCGGCAAACATCACGTTACGTCCTCGCGTACCTTTTCTCCTCGACCTGCGTGTGCTTCTCTACTCTACTTTCTTCGATTACTCTGCTTTTAACGTCCTCCTTCCCTGCAAACTTCCTTAAATACCAACCAAGAGAGGAGGGAGGGATAGAAAGGACGAGAGTCGATTATTCTCGGCTCTAATAATTTTCTTCCAACTTGTTCGTTCGTTACGCGGCTCAGATGCGTTCCCCTAGGGAATCGTGAAACACGAGCGCATATATTTCTACATCACTGGAAAACACCTCTTTACAGAGTTGCTCGTTCAAAGGGAGGAGGGTAATAATTTCCCGTACAATTTCCAAACCGGTCGTGAATTTCGTGAAAAGGTAAACCGCCGTTTACGAAACAATTTAACCGGAGTCGAACCAACGTCTGATCGACCATCCACGAACCGCGATACGTCGCGAGCAGATTACAGGAGGAGGATACAAGGCGGTGATAGAATCCTAAAATCGATCCTGTCCTCTTCCTTTCTCCCACGGGCGAGGAAAATTTCACGAGGAGGAGGCAGGCGAGTAACTACCACGACAAAATTGGAAAGCCCGTGGTGGTGGCTTTTCGGGGATGAGATTCGGACGACGCTAGGATCCCGCCGGTGGGATCCCTTTGTGACTAATTTCCCGGCCGTTGCTCGACCCTCCCCCTCCCCTTCTTCGAATCGAATCACCGTGAAAACGGCGGCGAATGAAAGGGAAAATGGAGGCAGCTCGACCTTCTTCCACGTGTCCTTCGATTATCTCTCCACGATTCCGATTCTCGCCTCGATTTTTATCCCCGTTCATCATTGTTGTTATTATTGTTATTATTATTATTATTTGGACGTAGAAGAATTCGACGCGTTGAAAATCCATCCCCGACAGTCTCGACGACGAGAATTGATTAAGCCCGGTTTAACCCTTGGTTCGAACCCTCCGGTGCCTCGTAATCGTAAATTGGGGTGGCTAGGCCCGTCTCCGCGTAACGTCGAGCGAGAAGTGTCGCCCCTCTCGCGCGCACTCCTTTAATTCGTCCTCTCGTCACGCACACACACGCGCCGTTCCGGAACACACAGATGCTTCCTCAGATGTCGCGGGAGAAATTCGTGAAACCGAGAAATTCGAAACGCGATCGTCTAAAGTTTTTCCGCCTTTTTTTTTTTATCGCCGACCGATCCGGAGGAAGAAGAAGAATCGCGAAATTTCCCCGCGACCGAGTAATCGATATTCGTCCGCAGTGCAGTCACGGCGACCTTATGAATTCCACCTCGCAAAGCAAGTTCTCCCTCCCTGTCGTCGAGCTGTGGGAGGGGGAGGAGAACCACTGTTTCGTTTCGTTTCGAGTAATTCTTTCGCCGTTGAAACGATTACAGGGTGAATTTGCGAGGCTTTTACCCGCGAGAACGGAATTTCGATCGGTCAACGGGCGAAAATTCCGCAACTTGGAGAATAATAATAATAATAATAATAATAACAAGCGAGGTTGTTTTTATTAATTCGTTGGCAAGGGAATAAGTAATTCTTCTTCCCCGACCGGAGGGGAGAAAGGCTCGGAGGCGGGTTCCTTTCTTTCCCTCCGTTCGCCCAAAACATTTTTTTCCCCTCGAATGGCCGCGTATCCGCGGATATACATCTTCGAGAGAGAGGTCGTTCTCTCCGGGTGAAACTGGCACATGTAAGCACCATAAGGAATAATCCAATTCCCCGACTTTTTTCTTCACCCTCGGTCGAGATCCCTCCGCCCCGGGGCGGAGGATACGTAAATCTGGGAGAAACGTCTCCTTGGAGGAAGGAACGGCTTCGCAGTCGAGGGACGACGACGACGACGACGACGAGCGTACGCTCATTTGACCAGACGTACGATAAAGCTCGCGCGTAACGGGCCGAACCTCCCCCCTTTACGAGCGGATTCTTTGTACAAGGGTTGCTCGTACGTCGCCACGACGCCCCCTCCGATTCAACAGGCAGCAAATTGTGCTTGCGATCGGCCGAGAGAGAGAGAGACGGTAACGAACGGCCGCGAGTTTCTTTTTTTTTCTTCTTTTTTTTACACGACTCCACTCTTCGTATTGTCCTTCGTTCGTTTTCTCAAAGAGACGCCGTAACGAGGCGACGATTGATCGATTCGTTCCGCGGCGCGAACTCCCCGGAGGATTCTCCAGGAGGAGGAGGAGGAGGAGGAGGAGAAAGTAGTCCTCGATTTTTTTAGAAAACGGCGATCCCTCGTTTCCAAGCTATTGCAGGTGTAAGATAGGAGGGGATCGGGTTCAGGTGTGTCGTTCGAGCGGAAGGGAGGAGGGGGGTAATTCGTAGCAATGTAATCTACTTTTGACAGGGGACAGCCACTCGTCCCGCGTTTATTGGATCGCGACGGCTCGTAAAAGCTGTCGCTGCGCGCGATCGATCGGATTTTTCGGCATCGCGTGCACACGTTGGATGTTGTTATCTATCGAATGGTCGTCGTCCATCGAGCCGCGCGCCGCCGCCCCCACGCCCCTCCGTCGTCCTCCTATCGTCGCGAATACGATTACGACCGGTTACCGGGCAAATCGAAAGAATTGATATCGCCGATACGTTACGAGGATCGCGCCAGGGATCGAATCGTTATTGCGTCTCGCCCGTTTTCCATACAATTCTCGATCAATGGACCAACCCTATTGACGCGTCGTTCCGCTCCTATTGTATCGTTCAGCGTAAAAAAAAAAAAAAAAAAGAAGAAGAAAGAAAGAGAAAAGCGGATGTTTCGTCGTTTTGTTTGAAACAAAAAAGATCGGAATTAATTTCCGATTTGATAACTTAACCTCGATCGTTACGTTTCTCTGACAAAGTAGTAGGTATCGAAATCTCTCCTCTGAGCTGAAATATAAAGCGTGTCGCGCGATCGTCTTCCCGGAATCGAAAGATTTTCAGATCCAATTTCGAAGGAGACGAGAGAATTAATAATCTCTAATAATAATTTCTGTTTCCCAAATAACGCCACCCTCGATTCTTTCTTCTCTCGATTTTCCACGGTTTCCGTTCGGAACGGAACGGTGTTTGAAACGTGGAAACAACGCGACGTGGAACAGGTTTCACGAACGAGGCTGCGGACCGTGCCATTGTCTCGCTTCGTTCTCGCTTCGTGATCGATCGCGGTCGTTCCACTTTTCTCGAAACTCGCCTCCTTTGTTTCGCCTCTCCTCCGCGCGGAGAGAGCGCGGACCGAAATGGATCTTGATGTACAGGCTCTCGCCCGTCTACACGTACAGCACAACACGTCTACGTGTTTCAATAGAAACACGGGGAAGGAGGGGGGGGAGAGAGAGAGAGAGGGTACTTGTTGAATTGTTAGACGCGGCGAGGCCTCTCGTAATTGAAGCGATTACCACTCGTGGAAATAAGCGCGCCCCGCCACCTTCGGGAACAACCAAGACCCTTGATTAAAAACGATCGAAAAAATTCGAATACCACCCACTTGCTCGCGCAGGTGGAAGAAAGAGATCTCGAGAAGAGGGAGAATCCAGGTAATTGATCGGGGTAATTGAAGAAGCATCCGATTTAATCCGATACGAACGAGCGATTGTTCCTTCGCGAAAAATGGATGGTGACTTTCTTGGGGTGGAGGAGTGATTCTTCATTAGATTCGGTGTTCTTGGCCGGAGGGAGGGGGAGGAAGTAATGGAAAAAATAGCGAGGGTAAACCCCGTGAACTTTTCGTCGGAGGGGAGGGGGAGGTAGGTAGGTGGATGTGGAAATAAAAAGATCGAGGCCGTGATTAAAAGCCCTCGGGCAACAATTGATTTTTCCCCTGTGTCCATTACACGCGCAGCAAGCGCAGCCAGACACACGACGGTTGCGTATCGGGTGGTAGACGCGTAGTAGACGCATGGTCGAGTTTGTCCTGCGGGCCCGACTACGAATATCGACTGTGGAAGAGAGAAGAGGAGAGAAGAGAGAGAGAGAGAGAGAGAACGGAATTTGTCGAACCGCGTCACCGATTCACCGTGGAGAATGTCGCCACGGATCCACGTCCGCGAATTTAAACGATTTTACTCGATACCGTTGCCAGGCCGAACGAAGACGTGCGCGGAATAAACCCGGCAATTTTTCCATTGCTCGCTCGCCGACCCTCGCCTCTCCTCCCAAACGAGAGTAACTTCCGCCAATTTGTTTCCATCATTTTCCACGAAATTTGCGTGTCTGGCCTCGTCTGGCGTACGTATTCCTCTTAAGTCGAATATATCCGTTCGATGTTTACGCGTCTCACCGTGTGTAAATTTTCTATGCTCGTCCAGATGCTTCTCGTCCACTCTCTCTCTCTCTCTCGATCCACTTTTGTGATAAATTCGTATCGCGAAATGTGCAAGCTTGTCCGATTCCTTCTCCACCCCGAATGCGAGTCTCGTCCATTCGATACATTTGCGAACAAAGAGAGAGAGGGGCGGTTGAGAGGCGTTCTTTTCTTTTGGAACAACGCGTTTCACCCCTTCGAGTTAGTAGAGGGGAAGGGCAGAGGGAAGGCGATGTTCGTCACGGAAACTGGGTTACCATTAGACGGTCTTTTTGCGCACCGGTTTCCAGCAGGATGGGACCAGTTGGATGCACGTGTCGCTACAACTCGTTACAAGACAGTCGTTCCGCAGCTGTGCAACCGACTTCATTGGACGTAGCCGGCCGTTTTTGACGCGTGCGGTGTCGCGCGATTGGCAGCTCTCTCTCTCTCTCTCGAACCAAAAGCTCACGGCCTAAAGCTCACGTCCGCCCGATCCATTTATCCCCGGCAGGGAAAAAAGGGGGCCAAGGAAAAAGTCCGCTTTTATTGGACGTCCTCCACCGACAGTTACATATTGCACCGCCTATAAAGCTTTCCCTTCTGGCGAGTGTTGTAACTCGCGCCTTTTTCTCTCTCTCTCTTTTTTACCATAGACGCGATTATTCGGACCGATGCAGTAGACTCTCGTCGAGAATAAACTAGAATCGCGATGGGTTTGCAAGATATTTTCTTTTTTTTTTTGAAACGATGGAGAAGATTCGGAAGTTCGAGGATTTGGCGGAAACGTTAGATTCCTTCTCGATCTTCCGTAAACGTGACGGGTGGGAAATCCGCTAAATTTCGGCCAAGGATCTTCTTTTCCCTTTTCCTCGTATTATTCGAGAGATCGGTCGTCTCATTGCGGAGTCGCGGATGATCGATGGACGCGATCCCTCCGTCAACCTCCAATCCCTTAAATTCCTCTTTGCTTTTGTTCGGGGAGGGAAGAAAGGCTGTTTCGAAACGGAGAGAGAGCGAGACGGAAATTTCGTTCGATCTCGGCAGACACGTGGAACAAAGCGTGGAAAGGACGCGAGACATCGCGATATAAAGCGGCTTTTCCCCGGAATAAGCTGCGATGGCGGGCGGGACTTTTGTTTCGGCGATGGACCGCCGAGGGAAAATCTCGCCCGCCGCCTCTGTTGGGTTTCAAAGAGCGAGAGACGTTTAGAAGGCACGGTTGGAAACCACCGAAAAAACAGAATTGGCCGGGACACGCGGCTGTTTTTCAACAACGAAAAATTCGGTTCAAAGCGTGCTCGCCCTTTTTTATTATCTCCTCCACGTGCTCCTTATTTTTACATTTCCCTCATTTTCCCCCGCCTGCTATTATGTTATATTTCGCCCACCGTGCCAATCGATTCGCGTTTTTCGCTCTCCAAATTTATCGAATTTTCGCTTCGACGCGATCTTTTGGACGACGCGGAAGCCGTACCCACCCCCTCGGCCATTAAACAGGAAAGGAAGTCTGGAAAACGAGGACGCGACTCCCGAGACGAAATCACCGCGGGACTTTAACTAACCCTGAAATTAGAGATGCTCGCTCGAGGGGTCGAGCACGTATTTTCCGGGACAAAGAGGGCGGGGAGGGCACGAGGAAGAGAAGAATAGGGAGTTCGGTAGAAGAGGAGAGGAGGGAGCGTCGAATGGCGCGACAAAACTAATTTTACAAAACGCCGCGTTTCGCTCAGGTAAATTATTAAGGTCGCCGTGTTCGTCGCGGAGGTCAATAGATTGGCGGCCGCCTCTCTTGGAGCGCCGTTCCAAACCGTGAAGGGAGCGCGAAAGTTTCGCCGCTTCGAAGGGCGGGCGCGGGTAAGATATTGCGCGGGGGCCAGCTTTGCCTCCCGATTCGTGTAAAGGCAGCGCGCAATAAAGTGGACCGACGTTATTTATTAATTTCGCGCGTGCGGGGAAAAAGCCCTCGTTAAGCGGCTCCTGGGTCAAAGTGGGTCCCTCCGCTTTCCCAGAGGATCCTCGGAATTGTCGTACGCCTGGAAGAAGAGAGTGAAAACTGTTCGAAAGAACAAGTTCGAAGTCGAATACGCCAAACTAATAATCGAATCGTGTCGAGAGGGGGATGATCAATTATCCGTGTCTCTCCTCGAGGATTCCGGAAGCGGCCCTTATCTCGGTCTTATGCGAGGCCGGTGGCATCTTGTTGACCCAGTGCAGGGGAAACAGAGACAAAAGCGGGGTTTGAGGATCGCGTAGCTTAGCCTGGAGAGAAAAGCGGGAAAAGTGGAACGTGTCGTTTAATATTTCACCGTGCGCTTTTTTTTCGTTGCGCGCGATCTTTCTGGGTCAGCTTCGGTTAGTAGAATTTTTTAATCGACCCGATCTTTTTTCTTTTTCACTCCTCTCTTGGAAAAGCGATCACGATTAACAGGGAAAAATCGGATGGATCGTGGACGGCGAAGAACCGCGCGACATTTTCGGGCGACGAAAAGCGGAATCGCAGGAGCAGGAGGCCAGCTTGAAATGCCCTGGAAGCAAAATCGATATTTAATTTTAACGAAGCCGAGGCCGCACAAAAGAATATTCTCTCTCGGTTCCCCGTAACGAGAGCTCGAGAGTCGACTCGTCCTCTTTCACCTTCCGTTTTCCCTCCCCTTTTCCTCCTCCCCCCTCCTCTCCTTCTCCCTTACCGATCTGCTTTTCGTCTTTGTGTCTGGTGTCTGCGTCGCGAAGCCTCCACTGCTTCTCGAGCGAAAGTATCCAGGCTGGGGGAGGAGAGGGACGAAAGTCGAGCAATCCGCGAAACTTCCACCTCTCTTTCTCTTTTTAAAGTAAAAAAAAAAAAGGAAAACCTTTAACGAGAATCCGTTTGAGAAAGAAAAGAGAAAAAAGAAGACGATCCCTTGGATGGAGTCGCCTCTTCAACGCGTGAAATATAATGGCGACATACATAGCAGTCTGAGGATCGCGATTCGGAATGGAATGGGCGCAAGTTGGATAAATTCGACCGAAATTTCTTCCAATCTTGCAAAGTGGCAGGTTACACGCTCGCAATTTTGTCCACGAGAGGACACGGAGGAGCTCGCACGTTGGAGAGGAGGCTTAGGAAAGCGCGACAAAGCCCGAGACTCTCGTCACGCGGCGTGATAAAGGTACGTGGGATCGCGTATTTTCCAGGGATTTTCGGGGGAACGGCCGCGAAAATTGCAGAAGAAAGAAGGCTTATCCGTTGGCCTTACGGAGGAGGGGAACACGACGACGACGACGACGACCTTCCCTCCCCGTTGAAACGACGTTGAAAGATCGTACACACAGCTTCTTCTTTCCTCCACCTTCTTTGTCCCGAAAGCTCGTTCGGACAGCTCTCGATCCTCCCTTCGACGCGCAGTGGATAGCGGATTCGATCCGCTCGTAGTAATCCGGTGTGCACTGGCCAGCCTCTGTTGATGAGCCTTCGTTTCGCTCCGGGGGAAGTTGGATAAAGTTTCGTGGAACGCGTGGAAAGCGAATGGGACGAGAATGGAATGGAATAGAAAGCGAGAACGATGGTGGAGATAGAATTATTCCGAATTATACTCGATCCACCTCGTCGACCATCTCCTTTATATCCATCGAACGTGTCCCGTTTAAGATGCGCGATTCACCCCGTTACCGATCTCTTACGGCGGTAATTTCGAACGGATCGTCCAATTATCTCGACGGCCCTCGTCGTATATTCCACGCGACGCTCGACGATTTATCGACGAAAAATTATCCCTAGCATTTCGCGCTGAATATAGAATATTCGTTTCGAAACAATCCAGACGTCTCTCGCATTGTCCTTTACGTTTCCATTAAATCCTCGTCTCGTTGATTCCGTAAACCGGCCGAATTTTGAATTATCATCGCATTCAATTTCCACGATTCGAGGATGGATCGATATCGTTCCCCCGACCATGTTTCCCGGTTTCGAGGACAAAACCCGGGGAGAGATTGAGAATTCCACGCGAGAGACGAGACGAGAGAATTGATCGTCGACGATCTGTCGCCTATAAATCGGCCACGCGAGGAAGGTATCCGTCGACGAAGCGTAACCATTGGACTCGAGAAAGGGTTCTCTCCCTCCTCCCTAACTTCGCGCCGAATCGTACGTGAGGACATTTGAAGCCGCCGTTAAGCCCTCAAAGACGAACACCCGTCGGAGTAATTAATTCCTCGCGGCTGGAGGAAATTTCGTTCGAGGGCAACACCGAGGTTCGCTCTTGCTCCCTTCCCCCTCGCAAGCAGAAGGGGCTGGAAAGTTCCTCTTTTCAAAAGTTAGGGGACGAAAGATCGATCCTCGCGTAATTTTCTTCTTTTTTCCCTCCCTCCCCCTCCCCTCGAGAGAGGCAAAATAATCAACCAACACCTCTCAACGTTACTACGAATTATTCCTTTCGTCGAGCTTGTAATTTAAAGCCGTGTCGAACTCGAAACGGTTCTCGTTTGGTCGAAGCGGACAAGTGACCAGATAAATTAAACGAAAGAAAGGGCAGAGGTTCTTACTTACTACCCCTTTCGCATACCCTACCCTCTCGATGAACGAAGCAAAGGTGGGAGGGTGAGGTTTAAAATTACGATGGACAAGCGTTTTAATTGCTCCGACTAAGGAAAAAAGAGAAAAAGGCGGGGGGGGGGGAGAGAAATGGAGAGGAAAAAAAAGGAGGAACGTAACAATTTTCCTCTCGAGAGAATCCCTTTCTTAATATCCCTTCCGCGATAAACCGTTTAGCTTCCATTTCCCCCCTCTCCAACTTTCCTGGTATATAAATACCGAGCGCGCGGCGAAAGGTCGGCCAGTTTCGTTTCGACTACGAAACTCGTCGAATTGTATATATATATATATATATATATCCTTCGATTTCTCCGATACTCTTACTCTCGATCCGCGATCTCTCGCTCGGCCCGAAGAGAATCGGATATAACGGATGGAGGAAATCTTGCCGCGAGAATTTATCACGGCCACGAATCTCTCTCGACTCGAATCCAATTTTCCAGATATACGAGGGTAACACGCGTTATACCTCTTCCCGTCGTTACTTCCCTCCCCTCCCCTTGTTTACCGACCGCGGTATCCGCTTGTCAAAAGGAGATATACCGTTCGGCGAGGTGAGCACCGAATCACCGAGGTGGCAACTTTCTAACTTCCGAGTAGTACTAGACTTCTTCTTCCTCTTCTTCTTCTTCTTCTTTTTCCCTTCCACCGTGAGAAAGGGAGGGGTCAAGGGGGGGGGGGGACGCGCGCGAAAAGAAGAATAGATTCTCCTGCGGGAGAAGGATACGCGGGGAAACGCTTCGATAAGCAGTCGATATATCGTAACCTCTCTCTCCCCCCTTCTCGACGAGAGACTTATCAGGAATACGCTGATTCCGCGCTTTATCCGATTCGATTGGCCGTTCTATACAGAACGCTGCTTTTCTTCTATCGTCCACTCGCTTCTCCGATTCGCGTTTCCATCTTTTTCCCTCTTCTTAAGCTTCCTCTCCTCTTCTCTCTCTCTCTC